CACACAGTGAGTTTAGCGTCACTAATCTTTTCACTCATTCATACCAGTGGGGACTGTTTTTGGAGACCCAACATACAGATTTATTAGTGATCTTATTCATGGCAATACAACCACACAACCTTTAATTCAATATTAACACCATTATTATTGTATAATAACCATTTCTTCAAAGCATTCTGAACCATTCTATAATTATGGTGGCCATGATTTTCTGAATCAAAAATTGGGACTTTTCATTGAGCAATGAATGAATTTTTTTCCAATTTGTCAAGTTATCTAGGAGCAAAGGCACAAAAATCAAATCATATTTAAATATATTGGAATCATCTGTGGTTTTAGGAATAAAATTATAATAAATTATCAGTGTCCTAGCAAATCTAGATTACATGGTCAAAATAAAACTTAGCATCCCAAGTTAAAATTTAGCATCCAAAATAAAACTGTTTTTTCACTGTAAAGTTGTCTAGATTTCTCTTTTGTAATTGAGTTTAATATAAAAGTTTCACATAACAATGATTTCAATGTCTTTGCAATGACTAAAAGGAAATAAGGTTAATAGTATTTTTTGATATTGGTCAAGTATTTATTTCATTCACTTTTTTTCAGAATATTTTATCATGTACTAACAGAAATATTTATTAGCATAAAATGAGGCATCAAGAACAATTTTGAAAAATTTATAATTAAGAGCAATGGAAACAATAGAATGTTTGATCACCTGCCTTTCTACTATGTTTTAGGTTCTGAACCTCTTCTTGGCCTTGCTTTTGAGTTCCTTCAGTTCCGACAATCTTGCTGCCACTGATGATGATAATGAAATGAATAATCTCCAGATTGCTGTGGGAAGGATGCAGAAAGGAATTGATTTTGTTAAAAGAAAAATACGTGAATTTATTCAGAAAGCCTTTGTTCGAAAACAGAAAGCTTTAGATGAAATTAAACCTCTTGAAGATCTAAATAACAAAAAGGACAGCTGTATTTCCAACCATACCACCATAGAAATTGGCAAAGACCTCAATTATCTCAAGGATGGAAATGGAACTACTAGTGGCATAGGCAGCAGTGTAGAAAAGTATGTCGTGGATGAAAGTGATTACATGTCATTTATAAACAACCCCAGCCTCACTGTGACGGTACCAATTGCTGTTGGAGAATCTGACTTTGAAAACTTAAATACTGAAGAATTCAGCAGTGAGTCAGATATGGAAGAAAGCAAAGAGGTAATAATTTTTAAATAAGGAGATACTTTGGTATTATGTATTGCTGTTGCCTTAAAATCATCAGATTTTTAAAAATTACATGTTTCCTCCTGTAAGAAAATATCTATCAATATATTTTCTATGGCATTGGTAATACTAAATTGGTAATACTGAATTAATGATAGATTAAAATATAGCTAGAAAAATGATATGCTAACTCATTTTTCAAATATTGTTTTGAATTTTTTATATTAATATGCAGATTAACATGAATTTTTCTAAGTGTTTTAAAATAATCTTAGATTTGTGAAAATGCCTCAGTTTGTCTGCTTTCTGCCTTATTGTTTGCCCATAATGGTGGATTTTTGTATGTACTGGAAAAATACTTGATGGGAGGGTAGTTCAGATTCTCTTCTTGTTATATTCTTGGTTCTTATGAAATATTTTATAAAACGTG